CCGGTGAAAAAAAAGAACAGGATCGTACAAGTAACGGTTCTCAGTTCCAATTAAGAATGTAGTTTGGAATTGAGAACAGTAACGGAGTAGGAGAAAACTGTGAGTTTCGATCGCCGGAAATGATACTTTCATCAAAGCGTCGCAACCACGCATACAACTGAAAGTGATAGCGAAATTATGGCGCTGTTCGAGCAGTTTGCCATTCTCTACCACTCCAGAGTGCACGGGAACAGAGCTAAATACAATACCGCTCCTAATTTCTGGTCAATCGACGGTTTGCGACAGATTTTTCCGTCGCAAACCGTCGTTTTGCCATAACTTCCGTAGAAGTGGTCCAAATTATTTGAAAATCCACTGATGGATAGCTGAAACCACGACGAGTCTAATGGTCTATGAACCGTTCAACTTCGTCCAGTTTGTTGGCCTTATTCTTGACGAATTCCACTTTTGAGTCTCCAGTTACCCCAGCTATGCTCAAATGTAGATATTTCCATGATTTGAGAATACCATTGAAAAGAGCTTGACGAGCTGGTTCTAACGAAGTGGAACCTTCTACATGGATCTGCAGTTGTACAGCGCAGACTTAAGTGGAGACTGATGGCCGACCCCAGCCTCCGAAAAAAATAAGTTGATGAAAGAAGTGACTTCGTCGATAGGACATGGTTTTTACATCGTTGGATAGCATTTTTCTTACAGAATCCAACCATATAGGTTTCAATAGGCTCCCTTGAATTCGGTCAATTAACCTTTTTTTTCGGAATATGTACGTGGCGATGTATAAGATTTGTTGCACCGTAGCAAATAGACTTGTCCTGCAGCAGCTTCCGATTACATGATACTACAGTAAGTGTTCTAGAGAGGCTTTTCTTGCCTGTTTTCGTAGTTGACCTGCTAGGATGATGCGCCAATTCAAATATGGAAGAAATGTGATTATTGTGTCAGACTAGGTAAACACCGAGGTTTAGGGCTTTATTGCGGAAGAATCGCTTGTTAGTAATGGAACGTGTGCTGAATTTTCTACTCAGCACTGAACCAAATCCACAACCCTTTAGCGATTTCGCCGCCAGCTACATATAGATACTGCGAAATGCGCGATCTTTGGAAAAAAAATCATAAAATCCTGTGTGTCGACCATGTTTTTGAATTTGGTTGAAGAGCATCATATGACACCGTTCTATGATTCAACACTTTTTCGACAAGTTTGAAACCCAAAAAAGTGAGATCCGAAGGATAGTTATGCATCCATAGGTCAAAAAATGCAGTTCTCGCATGCTCTCAGGGAAAACCTTTATTTCGCACTGAATTTCATCGAAACCTTATCGAAACCGGTATCAAAATGATCACGGAAACACGCCCTACCCAAATATGTTGGTATCCGAACTTTTGAACGCTCAGTTTGAATTCCGCTATCGGACTGGAGGGTTTACGACGCTGTCATATCCTCAGGTACCACCTGAGGTAACTGGAGACTCAACAGTGGAATTCGTCAAAAATAAGGCCAACAAACTGAACAAAATCGAACTGTTCATAGACCATTAGACTCGTCGTGGTTTCAGCTATCCATCAGTGTAATTGCCAAACAATTTGGACCATTTTCAACGAGGTTATGGCAAAACGACGGAAAAAGGAACGGAAAAATCTGTCGCTAACCGTCGATTGACCAGAAATTACGAGCGATATTGATGGTGGTATCCGAATGCTGCCTCCAGACACTGTCTGAGCTATCCGAACGCAGCACTTGCGTCGATACCAAGATCCCGTTGCGAACATGCATTTAACGGGAAGGAGCGATCGGAAAAGACGAGACTACACGTATGGCTGGCCGTGCGGCATCGCGGGCGGGTAACACGAGCGACCCTCCAGCCCCGGTCCCGGGCACTTTTGAACGGAGAAGCTAGAAAAGGAGCCACTGCTATGTACCGAAGGTGCCCAGTACCGCAAAAACAGTAAAAAATGAGGTGAAATAGTGGGGAAAACATCGGAATGGGGCTTTATTTCTACGCTGCACTGCGGCAGTGGACGAGCGAACGGCTGGGCGGGCGCTGCTTTGGACGAGTCTACCGACTGAACCGTTTACTGCTGGACAAAAAGCCAGCAGTACGTTCTACGCTGCTCTACGTTACTACATTACACGTAGGCACGAACGGTTCCTACACTTATGTTAGACACGGGCGCTTCACAATGGCACGCCCACGTTGCGATCCTACGTCTAGTAGTAGGCGGGCGGGCGAGGAAGGCGTTCGGTGCGGTATGTTGTTGCTCGGTAGGGCGTTATAAGGGTACCCTCCTAGGAAAGGTTCTACACAGCGCTTGCTCAGGGTCACGGAATTCTGTTATGCCAGTCGTACTAATCGTACACTCTTTAGGGATTTATCGTGCCAACTGCCTTAAATAGAAGGTTATGGGCTCTGACGTTATTGATGAATCTCATCAAATTTCTTCGAACCAAAACCCAGAACTGTTAGCTCATGTTCTTGCAGAACAACAACAGACACTGCCTGCAACTTTTTTTGCTTCTCGAATCCCATGCGTTTTTGCAAAAGGAGAGCGAGCGAGGTTATGGTATCTGTACAGAATCGTATACGGACGTTCTACAACAGATTCTCCAATAATTTCACGGTCGGCTCACCTTCTTCCCCAATTTCTCAGCCAATGCCTTTGCCTCCTTGAGATTTCTCTCAACTGTTGCCACTCGTTGATTCGCCTGATGAGCGTTCTCGACAACGATCGTAGTCGCGAGGACATGTGCTGCTTGACACTTCGCCGTCTAAAATATTACAAATATACTTCTAAACGCAGAATTTATCACCACCACATACATATTCTGTCAAATATCCATCGTCCAAAGTTGGCAAAACTACAAAACTTTATGATCATCGATTATTACCAGGACGGTGTAGGCACACTCCTTATCCCTGGGACGGAGTAGGCGTGGCATTTGAACATGGCATAGAACGGGTTACTCGTGGGATATTTCAGTCTGAGACAACTGTCATCTTGTTCAGTGTTGGACAGAGACATGACCACAATTGTTCAAAATGAAAATATCTCACCAAAAGCCAGCCACCGCCGGTTTAGTTGAATTACTCAGCCACGTCTACCACATCCCAAGATTACGAGTGTACCTAACAAGCAACCATCCCATAATTGCAAACCAAAGGCAGACCTCGATAAGTTCCAGTGTATCTTCGTCAACGGCATCAGAAAACTGTAGCGCTAGATAGGACCAGCTGCAGAGAATGTCAAGACGATCCAGTTCAAAAGGCTTCCATAGTTGGACGGCGGCCGACCACAGATAACTGAAAGGGACAGTCTGTTTGCGTACGAAAGCGGACAAAAAATAGTGCAAAGCCCACTCAAAGCTTCGTTTGATTCGACGCCACGCATCCGCTCGCGCCTGAGCATGATTGGCACGACGAGGCATCCGCTCCTGTACTCGGGAAATCTGAAAGAAAGGTGTATGTGGACCTGCTCCAGACTGTGAATGACACTGAAGCACCCCTACAGGCGAGGGGCCAGGCAACAGGTATGAAAATACAGGCGACTGAAACGACAGATATCAATGGCAGTGCGGGTCGCTTATGCCCTCAGAATTGCCTCTTGAGCAACCAGGCGCTCATTAACGCCGTGTTGAGGAAGGAGCGCTCTTGTATGACATGACGGAGTCGTGCCCCTCAATCGTCGATTGACGTCGATACAATACGCTTAACTGCAGCGCGAAAAAGGCGAGCAGCCAGTTTGGCGGGCTTTCGGACTATATAAGGATTCGTTGCGAAACTAGTGCAGAGTTTTCTTGTTCTCTTCGGCCGACTACTCCAACAGCGTTGCTCACGCCTTTCCCCATTCTCGATTACTACTTCTGTTCCAGAGCCACGACAACATTCCGGACGTCGCCGCAGTTGAGTGGTTCAGCACCTATTCTTTCTAGCTCATCGTTCGCTCTGCGTGGAGAATTGTTTTCCTCGGGGACAACGACTTGCTCTACTACTGCGTGTGCGCTTAAAGTATTCTGCCCATTCTCCCTTTTTCTCTGTGTACATTTTTCGTGAATCTCCAGGAGCTGTTTTTTTTATCTATATTCCTCAGTAGTATTGCGTTGTCGTAATAAATTGTACCCTGTCGTGGTCGAGTACATTGAAGCACTCGTCGTAACCAGTCATACTTTTTCACAATATTACATAACTCGCCCCCTACCATATAGCTCTGGCAAATCTGGAGCAACATTTGTCGCGGCCATCTATCAAGCGGACTACCTTTCCCCACATAGGAATTCGATTTTTATGAAAAAAATTGCCCACATGTGCGACCTGATAGAATGCGACTAGTTCACGTCCTAATCTAATTGGATCTCAAAAGTTTAAGTTCATGACGAGAACAGAACTCGTGATCTCCGAGTGGACAATTTTCGTTTATTTCAGTTTTGGGAGGAGGGTGAGGTGGGAGAGGGAAGAGTATCAGTTGGGAGAGGAAGGCGACAACAAGTACGTCAGAGGATACTCGTTTTCGTTCCATGCAATGCAACTCCACTTTCATTTCGGATTTTCCAAACGCAGATGGGGCTGTGGCAACTAGTCAACCACCGCTCTCAGGGTGGGGGGCAGGGGGCAAACTCTAGTCTTAGTTTCTTCCAGATCAAGCAGATTTTGCGTAACTTCAAGACCGGGGTTAACCGCCACTATACAAATCGATCCAGGAGGGTAGACATACTGACGTATGGTTGTTCTTGATGCAGACACCGGGCGTATCATTGGGCCAGGTTTGGCATGGCGTCGGTAGCGCCAAACTTAGCCCCATGACACGCCCGAGCGTCTGCATCGAAAAAACTGTACGTATCCACCAGTTCGTATCGTTTGCCCGCTTAAAAAATGATGAACGGATGGCACTGCTTCAACTATCCCCACCTTACCCCTCTCTGGTGGCAGCGAAAACGTCTGAACATAGGTTGGCCTATTGTCACAGTCACTGATAAACATTTAAATTCATACTGCTAAAAGCAAATGCGGGTCTCACCACGAAAACAAGCGTTAATACTTTCGGAGGCTCAGCAGAGCAGAAAAACCTTCGGAAATGTGAGAATCTCTTACCATGTGATAGGCGTAGTAGATACTCAGTTGAGAGCTGGACACGACACGAGGGTCTTTCAAACGTGGTGCACGCTCCAAAGCATCAATCCACTCCCAGCACACCTGAAAATCGGCATTTGTGGCGATCATCTAATCCTGTGCGTCACTCGTACCTCCATCCACACATCTTCCGATAAGCTCACAATTTATAGTGTAGTTCGCTGTGG